TCTCAGAGGACCCTGGTCACACCCAGCCTCTTCCCTGCTGCCTCCCCTCCACCTCGCCAGTGGCTTCAGGAGCCTGGCAGGCCAGAGGTGGTGGCCTTGGCTGGCATCTGCCAGGTCAGGAGCCACGGTTCTGGTGTTCTGCATGTGAGAGGGATATGCCAATGCTGTGACCATCCCAAGTCAGTCTAAGCTGGTGTCAGGGCTCCCTTCAGGCTGGCAGGGCTGAGGCAGCCACAACTGGGAACTGCCACATTCTGGAGGGGACGGTTAACAACCCTGTGGCTGCAGCTGAGGCACTCCCCTGTGGCATTTCCAGGAAACCTGGCACGGAGGTGGCAGCAGCAGCAGGAAGTCCCCTGGGGCTTCTTATTAATATTTCTCGATGACTCTCCCTTGGGCCAACAGTGTTCTCGGAGCTCAAGGAAGGGGCCACTACCAAATGGGAAAGACCAATTGTGACCACCATGTCCACAGCAAACCTTTGGCCAACAAAAGGCAAAAAACCCTGAGCCCACGGTTAATGTCTAATGAGGCCCATGCTCCCAAGTTCCCTTGCAGGATGCACAAGGACAAAGCACTTTGGTGGCATTATCAGATATCACAAATATGACATGCACATAGCACCCTGCACCTTCCCACCACGTTCTGCCATCCTGTGAATGTGCACTAAGAACACACTTCAGGGTTCCTTGCCCTGCAGTTCCTGGGAGGGGGTCTTCCCCCATTCCAATTCCAGGGTTGCTGCCACCGTCAGAGAAGTGACCCACGTTTTACCACTGAACACCCATGTCTACAGCACTAATGCCACCCTTTATGGTAAGCAGTGATGTGAGACGAGATGTCATTACAGAAAAAAATGCTGCTACCAAATGCCTCACTTTTAGGATATCATTTGAAGCAAACTTGGAATAAACTGAGCATAACTGTCCATAAGAGGAAACGGCCTTAGGAGCCAGCGGGGAGTAGGGAAGGGCCCCAGAACAGCAGGTATATGATGGAGGCTGTTCGTTCCCCCCAAACCATCACATGCTCCTGGCTCCTGCTGTTTATTCCATAATATCCTGGGAACAACAGCCATGCGCGGGCAGCCGGAACCCACTGAGGCCCCTCCAGCCCAGCTGCCCTACACAGCAACCTGGGCACCAGGAGAAGCTTCTGCAGAGTGGAGCGTGCCTGCACCTGACGTCACCCGGGATTTACTACTAGCAGGGGTTGTGCATTAATAGGACACATCATTCCCAGGCTGGCAGAGCCCAGATTCCTGTGCACAGATCCCGACCTATGATGCTCACGCTCCCTTCAAATCCATTTACCTTACCGAGCGCACAGCGGGGAATCAGGGAAGCGAGTGAGTGAGTGAGCGAGCGAGCGAGCGACTTAATGTCAAATCCAAGAGAGCCCTGCTCTGGAAAGAGGACAGATGGGAAAAGGCATCCCAGAGAGCCATTCCCGGGGAGCAGAGGCAGCTTCAAAGGCCCACAGGGAGGGACTGCCGACTGCCGAAAAGATATCTTGTTTTCAGGGGCAGGAGGGGGGACATTGTTGCTACTGGAGTGGAATGTTCTGGTAAGGGATAAGGGCTGGCAATAGCAGGGTTTCTGCTGGTGATGGAGAAGTGGAGGGAGGAAGAGTGAGAAAGCCTTCTCAGCACCCCTTCCCCCACCCATCCAGGCAGGAAGTCCTGGCTGCTAGGAGCGAACAGGAACGAAGAAGCAGTGGAGGAAGAGTAGCCGGGTCTAGGGAGACCGGGAAGCCAGCTAGGGGCGGGCAGCGGGCAGGGGAGGAAGCTCTCCGTGGGGGAGGGACCAGGAAATAGCCTAGAGAACCTGGAGGCTGCAAGAGGCACCCGGCTCCCACATGCTGTTGCTGGGGCTGCCTGTCACTGGGGAGGACACTGACACCTCCAGGGACTGCCCAGGCAGGGCGCCTCAGCCAGGAGCCCAGAGATTAATTACAAGAGGCCTCAGTGGTCATATTAAGCAAATGGTGAGAATTATAAGACTGCAGCAGCTGCCGGGGAAAGAGGCAACAGCTTCTGCCTAGTAAGCCCAGACCACAGTCCCTGAGGCACTGGAGGTATCAGCGGAGGACCAGCCTCCTCAATTTTCCAAGGCAGAAAGTGAAGCAGGCCCTGCCAGGATAAGAGAGGTGCCCAGGTCCCATGTGAGCCAGTGCTGCAGGGGTGAGGAGCTGGCACCCCTACACTCTCCCTACACAACACCTCTTCCTGAGAGAAGGTCAGGAATGGGTCTGTTTCCTAGGATTCTCTAGGTGACAGAAGGGGAGGTCCCTGTGCCAAGTTACAGTGGCACCATGCCCAATCATTCCCATTCCCCAGCCCTGGGAAATCAGGGCTCTGGTGCCAGCCAAGCTCACAGCCAAGCCACAACCCTGGGCACCAGCCATGGAAAGGCTGCCAAGATGGCCCACCCCTAAGTGGGAGCAACTCCCAATGGTACACTGGTCAGGGACAAACCCTATGGTCTCTCTCCTTGACCCTGACCTCAAGGTGGAGAAGACAGGACCCTGTGTCTGAAGGGACCCCTGGCATGGTGCTGTCCTTACTACACACTGGCTGTGCCCAGGGAGGCTTGGTTCTATTTCAGCAATGGTAAAGGGGCTGGGCCTTGTGTACTGTGATAGCTGATGGCACCAGAGGCTGCCCTGCTGCTTCTGGGTCACCACCCCAGACCCACAGCTTCCTAGGCAAGAGGTGCCAGCCAGCCCATCCCACAAACTGGTTATATAGGAGTGGGTGGAGGAGACGAAGCACGGGAGGGAAGAATACTGTGGCTAGGGCTCCAAAGATCTGAGATCCAATCCCAGATCTTCTATGTAATGAAGGCAAGCCTCCTTCCCTCTCTAAGCCTCAAGGCCTCCACTGGAAAATGGGGGAAAATACCACCTGCTAGGCCAGCTTCCCAGAGTTGTAAAGACATGGTACTTTGCAAATGAGAAGTAACCGGGTAAAGGTGAAACATGGTCATAACCACCCTCAAGGGCAGAGGCAGGAGACATCTGGCCCTGAAGGGTGTGTGAAGCACATCACAATGGGTGACCTGTTTTCCATGGCAGGAGGCTTGCCTGACCAAGGCTGTGGCCACTATAAGGAGACTCAGGCTCCTTCCCTGGCCAGAGCACACCAGTGTTCAGTGTTAGAGGCTCTTGGCCATTCACAGGTGAGGAGTTTGCTCAATGGTGAAAACCCTGTACCAAAACCTAAAACTCACAGCCTGCCTTAATTCTGCTCACAGATACCACGTCTGGGTATTGAGCAACCAGTACACCTGAGGCCTTGCCAACTTCACATGTTAGATTTTGCATCAACTGAGATGACAGATGTCAAAATAAATAATGAATTATTATAATCTTATTCCTATCACACCATCACTACTGCCCAGGGAAAGGGTAAAGGGAAACAGCTTGTTTCTTAGGATTTCAGGATTCTCCTGCACCTACAGAGCCCACCAGGGTGGGGCCCAGTAAGAGCAATGCATCCCAGGGACAGATTACCTAAACACTGAGAGAGTTCTAGAAAAGGCCCCACCTCAAATTTTGCAGACCTCCCACTTGCAGAAGAATTTCAGGGCTGTGGCTACCCAGGAGAGCTGTTCAGTGCCCTAGAGGCTAACCCCCCTCCAGGTCTTTGTCATTTCTGAACTCATTTTTGTCCTGTGTGTAGTTGCTCATGGACAGTCTCAGTTGACACTCTGCCTAGTTCCTGTTTTGAGAAATCTGATCGCAAATGTCTTAGAAAAAAGGGGGGCCCCAACGGCCTTTTCAAAATGAAGACCAATTTTTCCTCTCCTAGGCTTGGTACTCAGTCAATCCGAAACCCAGCAAGCAGCCACTGGAGGAGGGGCCCAGTGAGAAGCACATCCCTGCAAGCTAGCTGCCTGCCCTGCCCTGCTCCAAAGACTGAGGCCATCAGAGACCCATTTCACACTGTCCACATTTCAAAGAGGTGAAAATCGAGGTCCACAAACAAAAAAAGGACTTGCCCAAAGTTCCATGATAAAACTACGGCAGAGGACAGGCCCAGCGCCTGGCTGCTAAGGAGCCCGGTGGGCACATCTGCTCTTCCAGATGCTGGACATCCAGGCCTCCTCTTGGGCCAAGGCAGTGGACAAAGCATACAGCTAGACGCTGAAGGCCCTGATGTGGAGGCCAGATGCCAGTATGGATCACCAGGGAGACACTGCACAAACCATTCACTTCTGAGTCTTTCTGTCCCTTCTTGTACCATCGGCACAAAACTACACCTTATCTCACTCAACTCCCTGGGCTCCTGTGCAGTTCAAATGGGACATACTGTGTTTGCCACAAAATGCAGGGACAAGTCCCAGGTACAGTTCAAATCCTGTCCGCTTCTGCACCCACATCCTGAACAGTTTAAACTTTGATACCAGCTGTGATGACATCAGTTGTCTCGCAGAGAGGTCCAGCTGCTGTAGGTGTGCTGGGATGTCCCCTGGTCAGAAGCACCCATAGGGCACCATATGCGGGGAGGAGGGTGGAGATGAGCTTCCTTAGCTGAGCACAGCCCCCAGGGATGGTACACCCCACCACACCATGGTCCCCACAAAGCACTCTGAAACCCAAGCCCAGAACACTGACCCCACGAGAGAGGGGAACAGGCAGAAAAGTCTGGGAGCAGAAAAGTCGTCCCCCCAGCAAACGACCAAACCTCACGCGCGTGTAACCCACTCGGAGGGGAGTGGAACCCCACACTGGGGGGGGCGCTGGGAGCAGGGTCAGGGGGGCAGCAGAATGGGTACAGAGGCAGGCCCAGGGAAGGGGAACCCCCCAGGAGGGGCGCAGAGGGTGTACGGCAGCGTCCAGCCCCAGGTGGGAAGGAAGCAACAGGGCTGACAGACGCCAAGCAGGCAGCGAGGTACAGGAAGCCGCAGCGCGGCCCGGGGAGTTGGGGAGCTCGGGGCGCGCGCGCGCGCGGGGCCTGGAGCGCCGGGGTCCCCGGGGCGCGGCCCGGGCGCACTCACCTGGGTTCAGGCAGCAGGATCTTCTTGCTCGCGCGCGCGGCCGGCGTGGCCTTGCTCTTCTCCATGGCCATCAGGTAGCTTACATCGGCCAGCACCGCCTCCAGGTCGGCCATCTTGGCGGCGGCGGTGCTGCTCCTCCCGCCGCCGCCGGAGGCTCCGCTCCGCTCCGGCTCGCTCGGCCCGGGTCGCGCGGCTCCTCGGCCTCGGCGGGCAGCAGGATCTTCTTGCTCGCGCGCGCGGCCGGCGTGGCCTTGCTCTTCTCCATGGCCATCAGGTAGCTTACATCGGCCAGCACCGCCTCCAGGTCGGCCATCTTGGCGGCGGCGGTGCTGCTCCTCCCGCCGCCGCCGGAGGCTCCGCTCCGCTCCGGCTCGCTCGGCCCGGGTCGCGCGGCTCCTCGGCCTCGGCGCCACCCTACTCGGTCCTCCCCGCTCGGCACCCCGCGGCTCCGCTCGCCGCCCGCTCAC